GCACTTCATAGAAGAGACTAGAGGGGCATGCTAGGTAAAAGACACAGTGTGGTTCCAGCTGGCCCCCTTGGCTGCTGCTCAGAGTGTAAGGTAGATAGATAGGTAGGTAGGAAGACAGACAGACAGACAGATAGATAGACAGAGATAGATATGTATGTAGGTAGGAAGATAGATAGATAGATAGATGACAGATAGAGATAGAGAGATATATATGTATGTAGGTAGATAGATAAATAGGTAGGTAGATGGAAAGATTCATAGATACATAGATAGATAAATAGATAGATATGTATGTATGTAGGTAGATAAATAGATAGGTAGATGAATAGATTCATAGAGAGAAAGAAAGAAAGAAAGAAAGAAAGAAAGATGGATGGATGGATAGATAGATAAACAGACAGATAGAGAGCAGGGATGAGGAAGAGAAGAAGCCAGGAGGCTAGGAGGAGGCTGGGAATGGCACTGACTCTTTTGTGTTTTGGGCTTGGATTTGTTTTGTTCTAATTTATAACCACAAGGACTAGCAGGGAATGTAGGATTGCTAGACAGAAGGAAAAGAGCCTACGGGGACCCACTCAAGGCACAAAAGCAGTGGTCATGGGTGTTGGGACCACTTAAGTCATGATGAGGCTCACAACAGATCTTCCATAGAAGAGGTTTATTAGGTGGATATGAAGAGAGGGAGAGAAGGTAGAGCAGGACATGATGGGGAGAAAGAGAGAGAGAGAGAGGGAAAGAGAAAGGGAGGGGAAGAAAGAGGGGGTGCCCTGATAGAGAGGAAGGACCAAGAGAGCAAGAGAAGAGAGGATCAAGAGAGAAACCACATGGCCGGCTGGTCCCTTTAAGGGCTTGGATTTGTTTTGTATTTTCCTTTCTTTAGATCTCTGTCACCATTCCTTCTTCCTGTGTGCCAGGACAACTATAGAGGGGAAAAGATAATCCCACAGAATGTAGTTTCCATTTGACTCTAATTAAAAAAAGGAAACCTAGTTATATGCTTTATTATAAAGCAATCCAGTTTCTGGGTCTGTAGTAACCCTCTGTGGCAGTGTGGGTATCTTCAGAATGTTCGCAGACATTTCCAGAAAGGCCTCTTCATCTCTTTCTGTTTGTTTTTTTTTTTTTTTTTTGGACTCTCCAGAGAATGCAACAGGATCCTGCTGCCATTATAGCTAGTACAAGATCCTGGTTACAGGTCTCCAGTGGTCTCAGATGCCTCACCGGCTTCTAGCTTTGAGGCCCCAGACAATTCAGGACCTGATAAAAGATGCCCTTATATGGAATTTTAAATTTTGGATCTGGGCCTGTGCTAGCCTGCAGAATAACTTCAAGGAAGACGAGAAAAGGTTTAGAAAAACTTAAAAAAAAGATTTATTTTGATTTTTAATTGTGTGTATGTGTGTGTGTGATACTACCTGTATACCATGTGCAGGTTCCTATGGTGGCCAGAAGAGGGCATCAAGTCCTCTGGAGTTGTCAGCTGTCCAATGTGGATGCTGGGAACTGAACCCAGGTCCTCAGCAAGAGCATCAAGTGCTCTTAAACACTGAACCACCTCTCCAGCCCCAAAGCCTCCTATTTTAACATCTGGCTTTCATACTTGACTCAGGTTATTCGCTGCAGTTTAATCTGCTGCAAATGAAATCCTAAAACTTAAGGGCCCCCACATCTTCATCAGGAATGACTAGAATCCCAGTGGATAACAACTTTTCCAGGACTAACTTTTTTTTTTTTTTTTGGTCTGGCTGAAAACCTTGATTGCTCTGGTTTTCCCTTTTTCCCTCCTGGAGACAAGAGTGTTTAGCCATGTAGTAAATTCTAATAATCTCATGATTAATAAGATGTAGTGCATTTAATTTGATGATATATATATATATATATTTATATTTGGTTAGGAATTTTTTTTCTTATTGATGGTATATTTTGCATATTCTTTTCACTCATCTAGAAGCCCATTTTAATTACACCTGGGTAAGGGAAGCCTTGCTTATGTAGCTTTCCCTATAGCACAGTGAGAAATTGTGTAGGCCCCCCCCACCCCAAAGAGCAGGACCAGCAGATCTGCAATACTAACCATCCTTCGCTCACCTGTTAAAATGATACAAATGCTAGAGATCGGAGCCATTTGACTATTGATGAGTATGCGGGGCTAGCACAGCCCAATGTTATGACCGTCTGTCCCTCCACCCAGCACCTGGTCTTTTGGTTAAAAAAAAAAAAAAAGGGTGGGGGTGGGGCCTGAGCAGAAGGTGTTCTCCACATTCCATCTGCTCAGGATTTTCAGGTTCGAACATGCATCATACGCATAGCCTGGCTTCCTACGCAAAAGCCTAGCATGACTGTCTTGGGTCTGGCTGGTGAGCACGCTGGCGCGGGACCTAGCCACGCCCCCAGCTCTTTGAGGAAGTACTATTTCCTGTTAAACACCGCCAGGTTGGTTAATGCTACCACCAACTATGGAGCGCCTGTTGCATGCCGGTGCTCTGTGCTGAGTGCACACACATCCCTTTCGGGCTCCTCACATCCCTCTAGGAAGCTACGTCACTTTCCCCATTTTACGGGTGGACAATTAGACCGGGCAAGGAGCTCCCTCAAGTCCTCACAGATGGCGGGTGGGCAGTGCAGACCCACTCTGACTTACAGCCAGCTTGGTGCCTGTTGGCTCTAGCCGTTGTTCACATGCATGCTGCTTTTCAGCAGGGGCGTGGGGTAGGGAGGGTGAGGAATGAGTTCCTTCCTTCTCAGTTTCTTTAGGACTGTGGCGTGGCACATGCAAAACTCACAAGGCACTTTTCAGAAGCGACCCTATTGGAGCGCTAGAAAGCTTGGCTGATGGAGACCTGTGGCTGAAATAACCATGTGATAATAGGTGCCCCTAGACTCCCACCCCTCCCCAACCCCACCCCAAGCTGTCTGCCAGAACGGTGGTGGATGGCGGCTTTTGTCTATTGGCAGCACAGGCAAGGTAGCTGCTGTCCTTCTAACCTGCGCAGTGGTTTTCTTTTTCCATAGTGAGTTCCCAGCTTTTCTAGAGTGAGTCTCCCGCACTTTCTGTGGATACGAGTTGTGGGCACAGGACTGGCCGCTGTTTGAGGAGGCTGAGTAAGCTCCATGCCCTTGGGTCCCTCTCCTGTATGTAAGCAGTGGGAGTTTGGGCGGAGTCCCGAGACCTCAGCTCAGCCTAGGAGTGTAGGAGGCAGGTCATGGAGAAGCCAGTGGTACTTTCCTTGACCCCCGACCCAGAAGAAAGGGATGAGCCTCAAACCAGTCCTGTTTTCTGAGGCCTCTTTGCTCTCCAACCCTGAGCACCATCTTCATCCTCCCTCACTTCTGGGAGCATGACACACCTTTTCTTTGCTCCCCAGAAGGCAGAGCGGCTCAGGGAGATAGTTGTCCCCCCCTTCCCTTGAGGCTTTCTTCCGAGGTTGGAACCTAAGGTGGGGCCTTCCCTGCATCTTTCCCTGAACCTGGGCAGGAGTGAGCTCTCTAGAAGAGGCTCTGGCCAAGTTGGGGCACGCATCTCCTTTTAGGGAGTGTGGTGAATTAGATCCGACTCTGCACCCTGCTGTTGCAATGGCGCAGGCTGTGAAAGAGAGGATTCTCAAAGGAGCTGTGTTTTAATGTAGCAATTTGATTCAATTTTCCACTCTATAAAATTACCCATCACTGCTCGTTGCTTTCTAACAGACACCTTCACTCTTAATTTAACAATCCTATCGAATTCTGCCAGGGAAATTGGAAAAATTTATCACCTGTGAAATTTTATTTTCCTTTGGTTGTATCTGTTTTTGTAAAACTTCATTAACGACGATGACTTGCTGAGGAAATTATCATTTTTTTTTTTAACTTCAGACACAAGAAATGGCTCGACCTCAACCAAGATATCATTTGCATAATAAAACACAACAAAAAAAAGGCTGAGGAAGTGGAGTCTAGCAGAGGCTGGAGGAACAAGGAGGAAGGCTTGGTTTCTCCTTGGTGGGGTTGTGTGGGTACAGACTTAGAGAGCAATGACGTTGCTCCTCTTTCAGGCAAGAGACAAATGGGGAATGCCTACTTAAGAAGGTTGGGCCCTCTTCTTAGGGAGCCCTGAGATGTAATTATTTACTGGTGAGGCGTCTGGCAAGGGGCCCTGTCTTCAGGGGCCTAAGTGTTAGATTCACCTTAGTTCCTAGGTTCATCTGGGATGCAGGTTTAAATTGCTATAAATTTTGGCTTAATTTGAACTTCTTAGCAGAGCACTAAACTCCTGGCAAATTTCCACAGGAGTGCTTTCTGAATGGACTCGAAGACTCAGCCTTCCCATTGTCTAAATACCTCACAATTAAAAGACTCGGGCTCTGGTTTTTTTTTTTCAGCCTAACCCCCACTGTGCTCTACACTGTTCACCAGCTGCTGGATCCCCACCAGAAATGGCTCGGTGGAAGCAGTGATGACTGTGCGTTTTCTGAGACGCTAGTGAGCATCTTCTGTGGGGCAGAGCTCCGCAGAGCCAACCTGTTGGAGCAGAGGGCGGAGGGAAGGCAGGGTTTATTCTTAGTGAGATGAGTTTCGCTGCAGTGTTCTATCAGGGTTTTACTGTCTCGCTGTTTGCATAATCCAGACTTTTCAAATCCTCCTCAACTGTGAGACAATGTTTTGTCTTTCTCGGGGTTCTACAGAAAATAAGCCAGAGAGTTATGAGAATGCACCTCCAAACTCACACGGTAAACCAATGAAAACTGGAGGTGTGTTCTCTAGCCTTTAACCTTAGCGGTGGAGGAACAGATGACTTCCTGTGGGACAGATGACATCATCTGGTGGGCTTCGTCTTCCTCCCAGAGCTGGGCAGAGAGAGCCACTGTCCAGGGAGTCATGAACTTCCTGTACTGTCTCCTTCAGAGAATGACCTTTAGATCAGGATAACTTCGGGGGACTGTTTTGCTCTTCCACCCGGTCAAGAGTTTTTGACGGTCGGGGAAGGGGAAGGTGGGGAAGAATTAGAAGGTGAAGCATTTCACCTGGTAGGACTTCATAAATGTCCTCTTCTCTGTCTGTGGGCTCCGGCAAGGCCACGACTCTGCACTGGGAACCAGACTTAGGGGAGTCAAAGCCATCGATGTCATCGTACATTTCTTCCTCTTCTTTCTCTTCCTCTTCCTCCTCCTCCTCTTCCTCTTCACAGGGAATGGTTAAGGAGCTAAGATCTGACAGGGCAAAGATAAGAATGAGTAAAAATAGAAGAAAAAAAAATAATAAGGCTGGGAAAGATGGTGGGAAAATGAGGAGGAAGGAGGAGGATAAAACATGTCAGAACAAAATGAAACACTAGGTTAAGTGTTGCTATCCCTAATGTAGGCCTCAGTGGCAGGAAATCTACAGAAAAGGCCAGCCCTGCCCTGCACCAGGTTCAAACCACTGACATAAATCCTCTCTGGCAATAAAACTTGGTCAGGGTGAACAGCCCTGGAAAGTATGGGTGTGTGAAGGAAAACGAAAGGTGAAGGAGAGAAAATAGGGCAGATGAGGCACGGCCAGGGTGCCATGCTCTGTCCATCAAGCAGAAAACGGGATGGGTGACTGATGGCTCTAAGTTGTCTAGGGTGACAGAGCCAGGGCAGTCTGGTGGAGTCGGAGCTCTCAGGCAACTCATCTCCTGACGGTCCCTTTGTAGAATTCAGACAAAATTGTTTGTGGAGAGGGAAGAAAAATGGGGGAGAGCAGCAGAAGAAAGGAAATGGGGGGGGGTGGTAGGAAAAAAAAAACACAACAGGGATTCGACCAAATGGGCCAAGCAGCACAGTCGCCATGTCCTTTCACGGCCTGGCTGACCTTAAAGGGGGTCACTGAGTACAGGATGTTCAGCCATTACGGCACTGGCAAGCACCAGGGCAGGGAGGAAGATTGGTTTCAAATCTGGTGGGGGCTGGGAAGCTCATTCTGTCCCGGAAACCCCCACCGAGGGGCCTCTGTAAGACCCGGTGAGTACAGCGAGTGTCCTCTGGGGAAGGAAAGGATGGAGAGACGCAAACAGTTCATTTCAAAACACAATAAAAACGTTTGGCTTGATTAGGCTTTTAATAAAGATTTCCCAACAAATTTCATCTGAATTCTGGCAACTTCATGAGGAAAGGATCAAAGGCACATTTGCGGCTTAAACCATATGTTATTATTTTGTTTGTTTTAAGATAAAATGGAATGAATAATTTCTTCAATGTGAGATTCGGAAAGTACCACAGGGTACAGCTCAATAAAGCTGCTTTGAGTTTTATTGAGGTTTACACGCTTAGGGGTATATTACACGCATAAATCCTGGGCACCTAGATGAGAGTGTACCCTGTAGCCTCACCATCAATGCTCATGTCTGCCTAGTTCCAGCCTATCATACGTGATGCTGCTGGTGTGTGGAGTACTTTGTTTCTGTGATAGCAGGGGTATGGCTGGGTAAAAGAGGCAATTCTTGTAATTAAGGCTCGGGCGCTTCCTTCCTTTTTAATCCACAATAAAACCCTACAGCAGGATAATAAACCGTGATGTGAAAGCTTGGTGTTTTTAGGTGGGTGTGCTTCTCCATGAGGCTTGGTGTTCTTGTGTCTCGATGAGGCAGGGCCCTGCCACGGTAGTGTATAAGGGTCCTCTTAGGCCACATCTACCTGCTTGCCCACTCCCAGGTGAGGTTTCCTGGGCCATTGTGGCTGCTGTAGCCAGGCCTGCAGGCTGGCCAGCAGAGGGTACTCTAAGAACAGCGGCTAACCTCTTCAGGCAGGACTCTTGCCATCCGAAGGCAAGGAACATTTTTATTGTTGCTTGGGAAATGGCAATTTTATTTTTAATGTCCAGTGTCCCCGATGGCCACCTAGATGAGTTTAAAACTCAACTTCTAAACAAAAACAAAAAATAAGAAGCGGAGGAGGAGGGGAAGGATTTGGATCTCAATCACATGATGGCTGTTACGAATTACCTTTCTAGGATGAAGGGGTAGGGGTTGGAGGGGACAGTGACTTGAGCCAAGCTGCTTTCAGAGTCTTTCCCCAAGGATGATCAGAGTTACAGACTTGTGCTCCTGGTGTCAGTGGATAAGCTATGACATCACAGGTGATCGCTGATGTCTGCTTTGGATGGTGGGTGGATGACTTCCTTGCCTTCTCATTCATATATGATACCACTTGTGGTTATATTTAAGGGCAACATGGGGTAGGTGGGCGGAGAGGGTCAGGGAAAGACACATACAGAAACCTGCAGATCAGACTTTCAAAACATGACCTCAGCTGCAAACCCACTCACGAAACACATGTTTTTGAAAATGGTGCTCTTACCTTTTAACAAGAAGCTTATTTGATCCACCCAGTCTCTGGCGTCCGCTGGACTGAGGGCTGTAAACTAGAGAAAAACAAGGGGATCAATTTATCCATCACCTTCACCATACTATAAGTGTCATGACTGCTGCTGGAGAGGCTCAGAGGCCTCTGGGTTTTAGAATCGAGCTTGGAGCTTTGGGTTCTCTGTCTCCTTGCCATTCCTAAAAAAGGCCAAAACACCTCACTCATCTTGCTGCTTTGTGCCTTCAGCAGTTTGATAGGCCAGAAAGGCCGGCCCTTCAGGTCCAGATGTTCAGGTCCGTGTACGCCCATTCACTAGATGACTTCTTCATCAGAGATTTATTGGAAAAAGGTTTATAGAAAACGAAGGAAGTCAACACGGTCGCGAGATGGGAATCTTGCCAGGGAGGGGCCTTTGACAGCAAGGGGATTTGTTTTCCAGTGCTGGGGATGCAGCTCAGCACTTGAATCATGTAGTGAAGTACTCTATTGCTGACCAGCAGGACACTGAGGAAAAGGCAGGGAACACTGGTTGTTTAGAGCAGGCTGGGGTGGTGGGGGTGGTTGCTGAAGTAACACTGTTTCCCTGTTTCCGTTGGGTTTTTAGAGGGTTGGTGCCAACCAGGAGAGGGAGCCGAGCGTTTCAGCCACGGGAACCACGTGAGCAGTGAAGACCGTCAGATGTGAGCTGTGCAAGCAGATCAAGCTGGACTGGAGAGCGGGCAGGGAGAGAGCAGACGGCCGGGGTGGGGGACGGGTCTGACCAGACTTAAAATGCAGGCAAGAGGGAGCCGCTGTCAGTTCTAGCAAAGAGGGTGCGTGACTTTCGGTAGCTGTGGCTGGGAAGGGTTGGAATAGGGGTGTCTGGAGTCTGAAGGCTGATTAGGAGGCTGTTTAATTAGCCCGCTTCGTGAAACAATAGGGGCTTAGCAACTTCGGGAATAAACAAAGAGAGGAAGAAAGGAAAATTAACAAGAATCCATGGCCCAGAGTGATGGTTTGGATTCAATGGGCTGAAGACAGGCAGTAAACAGACCACATTCGGATTCACCAAACAGAGCAGCCAAGCATCAAACCTTTGTAATGCTTTTTTGTTGTTGTTGTTTATTTGTTTTTGTTTTTGAGACAGGGTCTCGATATGTAGCCCTGGCTGTCCTGGAACTAGCTCTGTAGACCAGGCTGGCCTCAGACTCACAGAGATCCGCCTGCCTCTGCCTCCTGAGCGCTGAGATTAAAGGTGTGCGCCACCGCTGCCCAGACCCTTTGCAATTTTTAAAATGAATCAACCTGAAATGAAAGAACATTTTGATTCTATGATCATTAGAGTTTGATAAAGGTACAAGCTGCAGACAGAAATATAAGCTCTTGCTTTATCACTATTCTCTCTCTCTCTCTGTATATGTGTGTGTGTGTGTGTGTGTGTGTGTGTGTGTGTGTGTATGTGTGCAAGCACATATTCTTTGTATACAAGCGGAGGCCAGAGGAGGGCACCAGTGTTTTCCTCTTTCACTTTCAACATTATCCCTTTGAGGCAGAGTCCCTCCTTGAGCCTTGAGCTTCTGTTTTTTCGCTAGGCTGGCACTCAGCAGGCCCCAGCACTCCCTGGGTCTCTATCCTCCATGGTGCTGGGTTTAAAGGCATGCGTGAAACCACACCTGGCTTGTGACATGGGTTCTGGATTTGAAATCGGTTTTTCATGGGAATCATCTCTCCAGCACACTCATAGTTTCCGAAAACCACACAGTTCAATAAAGTCTTTCTAGGTATACTGGTTTTGGACTTTCCACATAAAACTTTTACCTGGATGTAACACTACTGCATTTTAATAATAAAAACAACTGAGAGCCATGCTGAGTGCATACGGCTGTTGCATAATGTTTACAAAGGACCCTACAGAGAAGTTTTAGTGAAACGTTAAAACATCTGGACATTGCATAACGAAGGCATAGATCATTTTATCAAATTAACAGTCAAGGCACTATCAACGGTAAAAAGTTGAGTGCTGAGGAAAATTTGAAAAGCCAAAGCATTCTTTAAGTGATAAATTTTGTATGTTTTTTTTTCTTTTCTCCTAAGTTGGCCAAGGTTCAGTTACATAGCTTTAATGAAGATGTGTTAAAATAAAGATTACCTACAATTAACAAATAATATACACATACATGTAAAATTCATACTTGACAAATACCAGCATAATCACTCAAGCACTAGTTTTGGTTGCTTTAAAAATGAGTAGTGAAGATTCAAAATATAAAAATTAGCAGAATGAGGAATAAGCCTCGCATGGACAAGGCTTCACAGGCCTCTGGTCTTCACTATTTCTCCTCAGTAGCCACTGGCATCAAGGTCTTGGAAATCCTTCTAGGCACACAGCACATCCACACCAAAGGAGGAAGTTTTGGACAGAAAGACAAACATGGGAGAATTATTTCCCACTCTGTAGTTAGATATTGCTGATCTCGGATTCCATGGAAAGATGTAAAGATGACCAGCTGGAAAAAACAGAGAGAATAGGAACTGCAGCTGTGAAAAGGAATCTCGCCTGTGGGATGAGACTGGGAAGGTAGGGGAGGGGTGAAGAGGCAGAAGATGAGTAGAGGTGGCATCTAGGATGAGCGTAGCAAGAGATGAGAGGGGAGGGCATGACACAGCGAAGGACGGAGCCAGCGAGCAGGTCACAGCTGGGGAGGAATGAGTGGGCAGCAGAGAGGATGGGATCCAGGAGAGCAACCAGCCACGGCGGCTCACACGCGACAGCCGGGGGAGGGGGGAACGCAAGGCTGATGATGATCATCAGGCTGTCCTACCTCATAGCTGCGTCTATCCTGGCAGGTCAGTTCAAAGCAGGACTCTTTCTTGGAGTCTTTTCGAAGGTGGGGGGCCATCCGGACACTGTAGCCCCTAATGAGGAAGGTCCCTCTGGGCTGCTTGCCTGCAAAACAGCAAAGCTCCTTGAATCCCTAGAGAGATACAGCAGCTGAGGGAAGGCTTTTCTCTCTGGGGTGGAAAATCAAAAGTATCAAACAGCAGTTGCATCCCCGAGGAACCACGATTGTCTGAGAAAGGTTTTCAGGGAAGCTTGGGATGAGGCTCCTGCCGTGCTCAGGCAGAGATCAGCACCGAGCAAGGGACAGCCAACACGAGAGGTTATTTTTACCGAAAGCGTGCAGGAGAGATGGGGAATTTATTAGAATGTTAAGAGATCCATAATAACAGAAAGCAGGAGTTATTACAGCAAGGAAAGTGGCTGTAAGTGTGGGGCTCTTGAAAGCTATTACAGAGCCCAAACGTTATTATGGGGGCCAGCAGGGTTCACGTTCAAGGAAGGGCACGGCCGCCCAGCGGGGTATTCTCGAGTCCCCGAATCTCCTTCCATACCCTACCTCAAGTGCTCACCCCCTCCCCTGAGGGTCAGGTGGAAATTTCCTGGGAAGTGACCAAGTAGAATGAGTATCATGAGAGGACGAAGAAGGTGACCAAGAGAAGGGGACCCCAAATGAAGGAAAGGGGAGACCACTCTGCCTGCCACTTCTTTCTGAAAACAAACAACCTCCCCCCCCCAAACAAACAACAACAACGTTGGACTCTTCCCTGTACCCTGAGAGGGGTTGTGAGTCTTGACAGACAGAGCATGCAGAGGGCAGCCACGGCAGCGCCTGGGCGATGGTGCTGTCTTCTATCAAGTGGAGTCAATTGGAATTGAAATCTTTCCCTCTCCCCATCAGTGCTGAAGATTGAACCCATGGCCCCAGACGCCTCTAAATGTTAATGATGGCGACTGAAGGACATACACACACACACACACACACACACGGGGGGGGGGGGGGGAGGGGGGGGGGGGCTGGGAGGGGGGGAGGGGAGGGGAGAGGGGAGAAGGGTTCTATTTTTACCTGGTTGAGCTAAAAGAAACATGCAGACACTACACCTACTGAGAAAATGTCCTGGGCACAATAAGGACTAACTGTCGAGAGGGGAGCCATGCAGCACTGCTTTCTGACACCAGAATCTTTTTCGTTAAAGTATCCCTCCTTGTTCTAACTGGCCACTAAAATGTTTTGTTGTTTCTTTGGTTGCCAGATTTTATTTCATCCTGACGGCAAAATGGTCAATAAAAGTCTCCAAGCCTCTTGCTCTCTCCTTCCCCCCCCCCCCACACACACCGTAAGACTTGAGTTCTGAATGAACAGACTTGGCTTTATACCCAGACAGGCCAACACTAACCATTTTTTTTTTTTAAAGACTTACTTATTTTTATTTTGTTTGTACGGGTGGTTTGCTTGCGTGTATATACGGGTACCATGTGCACGTCTGGTACCTTCGGGGGCCAGAAGAGGCTATCATATCTCTTGGAACTGGAGTTACAGGTGGCTATGGGACACTCGCATGGGTGCTAGAAGCTGACCTGGGATCTTCTGCAAGAGCAGTAAGTGTTCCGAGCCCTCTCTCCAGCCCTCCAACCACTCATTTAAATGCAAGGGAAATGGTGAACAGTTTCACAGCAGTCCAAACATCATACTAGTTTGAAGAATAGAATGCTTGTCGGCTTTGTAGCTTTGGCCTTTAACTCCCTACGTAGCTGAGGACGGCCTTGAACTCTCAATCTTCCGGTTCTGCCTTCTGGCATGCACCGTCACACTGGCGTCACGCAGTGCTGAGGATGGAACCCGGGGCATCATGCGTGCCAGCCAAGCATCTACCGGCTGAGCTGCATCTCTGGCCTACGCCTCGAATTCAGGAGAGAACCAGTACTTGCTGGACTCGGGAGTGAGCTGGGGGTTGGAAGGACACAGAGCTTCTGTTGCTCAATTTTCAAGAATGTCGCCATCAGCGGCGAGTACTCCTGAATGGGGTACTGAGAAATCCAAGATGGTCTTAAAGTGCAATCAGTGACATGGTGGCAGGAGTAAGGGTAGAGAGAGGCAAATGCCACAAAGCCAAGGGCAGATCCTAAGGGTCCCAGGTCACTAGCCAAACTGTAGCTCGCTCTGGCATGGTTGTACCAAAGGTGCCGGGAGACTGTTGTCCAGGCATCAGGAAAATAGAGTTTGGAAAGGAAGGGAGGGAAAACAGCACACGACTGGAAGGCAGATCAAAGGCCTTCTTTGTAGAGCTACCACTGGCCTCTGTGTGAAGGTAGGAGACCCCAAGGAGGCCCCTTGAGCACTTTACTCATCTCCTCTCCGTCTTGCTTCCAATCAGCAGAACAGACTCCTCTCCCTGGGAGTTGGCCCTTGTGGTGGTTTGAATAGGAATGGCAGCCATAGACTTAGGTGTTTGAATGCTTAGATAAGCCTATAGGGAGTGGTATGATTAGGGGGTGTGGCCTTGCTGGAGCAGAGGTGTCCTGGTTGAAGGGAAGTATGTCACTTGTGGGGGCAGGCTTTGAGGTCTCTTATATGCTTAAGCTAGGCCCAGTGAAGCATTCACTTCTGCCGCCTTCGAAACAAGATGGAGAACTCTCAGCTCCTTCTCCAGCACCACATCTGCCTGCACGCTGCGGTGCTTCCTGCCATGACAGTAACAGACTAAATCTCTGAGACTGTAAGCCAGCCCCAGTTAAATGTTTTCCTTTATAAGAGCAGCTGTGGTCATGGTGTCTCTTCACAGCAATAGAAACCCAACGAAGATGGCACTTGTTCACAACAATAATAACTTTTGACTTGTATTTATTTGCAGCTCCCTCCGATCGTGTTTAAATTCTCTCTCCCTTCTCAGGGACTTAGCAAGGCATCCAACATGGATGAGAGGTCTCCTAGGGATAGCGTGCGGTGGCACATTAAGAAATGGCCTCTGAGTCTCCACTCGGCTGCTGCTGCCGTCATCTGGCTGAAGGGTGTCTCTTGGGTACAACAACCATTAAGATTTCAATACTCTGTGGCTCCAGGAATGTCCACTGGACTCCTGTTTCCCAATAGTCATGAATATGCTCTTAGAGAGTTTGAGCCCTAAGGTTCTACTTCTGGGCCACTGTGAACACTGCTTACACGTTTTGCAGAATTATTATTATTATATTATTATTGTTATCATTTTTTGTGTGTGGTGCTAGGAGTTCAATCCAGAGCCTTGTGACCACCAGGCAAGCGCTCTGCCACGGGGCTATATCTCCAGTTCTTGGTTTTGGAGACAAGAGTCTTACTATGTAGATCAGGCTAGCCTTGAACTTGTGATCCTCTTGGCCCAGCCTTGTAAGTATTGGGATGATTGCAGGAGTGTGCTACCACGCCTGACATCTTAAATGTTTTTCCCCCCTTGCTGTTGTCGTTGTGTTTTGTTTTAAAGTCTTTGTGTGTGTATATGCGTTCTCACTTGCACATGTATGTGTAAGCGTGGTCCTGTATGTGAGTGCAGGTACATGCATGCCACAGCACACACGTGGAGGTTAGAGCACAGCCTTTGGCGTTGCTTCTTGTCTTCCACCTGCCTGAGGCACGGTTTCTTGTCTGCTGCTGTCTTCATTAGGCTAGCTGGCCGAAGAGTTCTGGCGATGCTCCTGTTTCTGTCTCCTATCTCACTATAATTTCTGATTCCCATCTCATGGTGAAAGTGGCGGCGTTAGACCGAGCCATATTATCACCGTTATATTTAGACGGCCCCTGGGGTCTTGAACTCAAGTCTTGATGCGTATGCAGCAAGAGTTTTATCCACTGAGCCATTTTCCCAGCCTCCCTTTTTTTCATTTATTCAAAGAATGCCAAGTCATTCTGATATTATCGTGTAATGAGTCACAAAAGACAGTAACCCTTTCAGAGAGTGACCACACTTAGTGTTTAACGAGGGAAGAAAGAACGCTAAATTGGCCTGTGTTTTTGGCGTTGGGGGAGCCTCTTTCTTTCCTAAGCATGTTGCTCTATGGATATTAGTTAAGGACTGCTATGTAGAAATCTAAGTGCTTGAGATTTAGGAAGAGCTTGTATCCAGGAGCGAGATGCTGCCGTGTAGATGGAGAACACTTACTTTTCTCATTAGCATAGTAGAGGAAGAGACCTCTGCTGACCACACACCATCGCTTCTGCCACTCTGACCCGAAGAAGCTATGATCTACACAGAAGAGCGAGAAGGGACATAAATTCAGGTAACTAGAATCGCCTAAGAGTCTGTAAAATCCAACAACACAGCCGAGTGGGTTATTGTTTTATTTCCCAGGTTAATGGACTGTAAAACCCTCCTTTTCACTCCCACAGGTTATCCTGTATTGACTGAGTGGGGGAGGATGAACTCCATCACAGGCCCGGGGCTCTTAGGAAGGCTGCTCCTCCGTGCTTTCAGGGCTGTCTTTTTATCTTGCTTGCTTTCTATCCTGTAGGACCAGATCTCATCCTGCTCTTTTTTTTTTTTTTTTTTTCAAACTTTCTGTGATATCTTTGTTTGTTTGTTTGTTTTTGGACACAGAGTCTCACTGGGTAATCCAGGCTGGCCTCAAGCTCATCGCTACCACCTTGTCTCGGCCTCTCTAGTTCTAGGACTGTAGGCACAGCACCACTATACCCGACTACCATCATTTCTTTATGTGCTGCCTTCTGCGAAATGAAACGACGCTCCAGGTCTTCCAGGCCACGGCCAGGAGAAGGGATTTCTTTTCTTCTTCTTTTTGAGTATCTGTGGTAAACCAATTTGCTTGTTGAGCATTAAAACAAGGACGCTGGCCCCTGTAGGATGGATTTTAATAGAATGACTTAAAGGGTCATGAATTGGGCAGCTCTGAAATTTGGAAGTAGGCTTCTAAACACTTGGAAAGACTACATTCTTGACAAAAACAGTCTCACTTTTTTTTTCTTTTTTTGAGACAGGGTTTCTTTGTGTAGCCCTGGGTGTCCTGGAGCTCACTCTGTAAAGCAGGCTGGCCTTGAACTCAGAGATCCATCTGTTTCTGCCTCCTGAGTACTGGGACTATAGGTGTGTGTGTCCCTTCTCCCTTGCTACAGTGTCACTCTTTTTAGGAGCACACTGAAAGGTGAGGACAAGAACATCATTCATCCACCCATCCATCCACCCACCTCATAAGAGATCTGCCTGTCGGTGCCTCTGGAGGCTAGGATTACAGGTGTGTGTGCCAGCACAACTGGCTAGAACCATTCCTAATGAAGCCCACAGTTGGCTGAACACTTGGGCCTTATCTCTAGTTGACACACACTAATACCATACTTCCTTCCTTTCTAGGCTTTTGCCTTACATGGGTCTGGCCCACTCCTGGGCCCTAGGAAGACATCCTAGAGTCAGTTCCTGCTGTCTTCCCTCCCTCCCACCCTCCCTCCTCCTCTCCTGGAATGCTCTGCTCTTCACAGGTCTGATTAATACCTTTGCTTCTCTTCTCCAAGTATCCTTGCTTTATGACGTTTTCCAGCTCCTGAGCCCCTCTTAGAGCATCTTCCAGTCCTGAAAGCAACAACAATAAAACGCCTTGTTTAAGCCTGATGGGATTTCCATTTACACCACGTTAGATTATTCACATTAATGATGGAGTACGGAAGGGTAATTGTTTAAATGCAGCACAAAATACAACAATTTCTATATGATTAGGGGAAAAAGTTAATTTTCTTCCTAATTATATCTAATGCTAATATTGCTTAAAATGACCAAACATACATTAACTTGTGGTAAGGGGAGGTAGCCTCAATACGTGCTGATCGGCAGGAAAAAGGCCTCTGGGGAATTAGGAATTTGCACTGGATATAAGCTCTAAATTGGGTAATCCACAGTGAGATAATCAACAGTCAAATGAACAGCAACCAAGAAGGCCAGGCTTTAATGAGTAATAGACTCCACTATGCATGCAGTCATTTCAGAAGGGACAATAAACACATCTCTACCTGTCGGTCTTGCTCTGGCTGTTTTCACGTCTGTATTTGTGCTGTGTGTGTGTGTGTGTGTGTGTGTGTTTGGGTGGACGTGTGTGCAGGTAGGGCAGTATTTGACATGGGGCGTCTTCCTCTGTTATCTGTTTTCCATCCTAGTTTTTGAGGCAGGGTCTCTCCTTGATCCTGGAGCTCACCTATAGGGTACCCTGGTGAACCCGGGGGACTCTGTCTCCACACTCCCAGCGCTGGGCTTTATAGAAAGTGTTACCTTGTCCAGCTTTTACGTGGGTCCTGGAATCCAAGCTCTGGTCCTCGTGTGCACACAGAAAAGCAGCTTGTCTACTGAGCCATCATGGCAGCCTGTTTCATTTAGACAGCTGCTTTGGGGAACACAGATTTTGTGACGAAGGGCTATGCGAGGCGAATTTGGCAATAACCACCAGATCTTGGGTTTTTGCAAAGTATGGGTCATGTTATGTGTCTTAAGAATCATAGAAGCTTTAGCCCAAAAGAAGACGTTGGGGCTGACATTAATCTTTAACTGCAGGATGGTGTGACTTTTTTTTTTTTTTCGAGACATTGTTTCTCTGTGGAATAGCCCTGGCTGTCCTGGACTCACTTTGTAGACCAGGCTGGCCTCGAACTTACAGAGATCCGCCTGCCTCTGCCTCCCAAATGCTGGGATTAAAGGCAGTGACATTCTTGGCTTTTAATGGCTTCCTTAGGTACACATTTATTGAGATGCCAAGCTCCTAATTCACTCTCCTGCCTGGGGCTTACACTTGCTTAACAGCAGCCTTGGTTGTCTCTGACCATGTGATCCTCCTGCCTCCACATCCTCAACGCTGTGGCCGTAAACAGGAACCACTGCGTCTAGCTCCCCTAGAATCTCCAGAAAAACATAGCTCTGCGTTTCCCCTCTTCTCTCCTCTCTTCTCCTGTCTCCTGCCCTCTCTTTCCTTCTCTAGTGTGTGCTCTGCCACTAAGCTACAACCCCACCCCAACTTCACATTTCTTGAAACACTTTTAAAACTTACATTTATTTAGCAGGTGTATGTGTGTATGTGTGAGTGTGAGTGGACCTGTGTGCATGCACATGTGTATGTGTGTATTTGTATGTGTGTGTAATGTGTGTGTGTGAGTGTGTGTTTGGCCAGTTTTCTCCTGCTTCGCGGGGCACTGGAATTTGGACTCAGGTATTAGACTCTAAAAACAAGTGCCTTTGACTGGCCCCTTTACATTTCTTTTTAAAAATCATTTATCTATCTATCTATCTATCTATCTATCTATCTATCTATCTATCTAT